TGTAAACAGTAAAGAGCTTAACTGGTCTCAGAAAATGGTAGTGGCCTAAACGCAAGGGTTCTTTTCAAAACAGATTGGCTCAGAGCCCAAAATAAAGCCCATACCAAGAACAGTCTTTGTAATTCTTAAAAAGAAAAAAAAAAATCTCCTAAAAAAGAAGTAGGGTAGAAATATAGAGGGAAAACTGAGGTTTGGCTTTATGCAGAGAAGAAGAGAAGAGAATCTACCTTAGAGAGAACCCTGGAAACCTGCAGAATGGGTTTTGTCTCACCAAAAAAGATGGGGGAGATGAGGCAGAAGACCACTCTGGATCTCCCTCATTCTCAGGTCTGAAGTGAGCCATGGGGGTTTTCTAAAAGGGGTGCTTAAAAAGATATGAAACGTATTTGAAAATCATATTTCTGATAAAGGGCTTGTACCTAAAATATATAAAGAACACTTACAACTCAATAATAAGTACACCAACAACTTAATTTAAAAATGGAGTAAAGGGCTTCCCTGGTGGCGCAGTGGTTGAGAGTCCGCCTGCCGATGCAGGGGACACGGGTTCATGCCCCGGTCCAGGGAGATCCCACATGCCACAGAGCGGGTGGGCCCATGAGCCATGGCCGCTTAGCCTGCGCGTCCGGAGCCTGTGCTCTGCAATGGGAGAGGCCACAACAGTGAGAGGCCCGCGTTAGAGGAATAACCAAAAAGCACAGGAACAGATACTCCACATCATTAGGCATCAGGGAGGTGCAAGTTAAAACCACAAGATACCACTTTATACCCACTAAGATGGCTGTTAAAGAAAAAAAAAAAATCAGTGCGGCTATGGAGAAACTCGAACCTCGTGTATTGTTGGTGGGAATATAAAATGGTGCAAGCCACTCCAGAAAACAGTTCGGCAAGTTCTTAAAAAGTTAAACATAAACTCACCATACAGCCCAGCAATTTCACTCCTAGGAATCCACCCAAGAGTAATGAAACTGGATGTCTCTACCAAGATTTGTACATGAATGTTCACATCAGCCTCATTCAAAATCCGCATTAACTGGTGAAAGGACAAACAAAATGTGGTACACCCACACAATGGAGTATTACTCAGCCACCAAGAGGAATGGACCACTGATACATGCTACAGCACAGATGAACCCTGAAAATGTAACGCTAAAGGACAGAAACCATACACAAAAGATCACAGACTGCATGATTCCATTGACATGAAAGGTACAGAAAAGGCAAATCTACAGAGACACAAAGTAGCTAAGCAGCTGCCAGGGGCTGGGGTAGGGGATCTTTATGGGTGACGGAAGTGCTCTCAAACTGGATTATGGTCATGTTTGTACAACTCTGCTAAAAGACTAAAACTCTGACTTGTACAGTTAAAATGGGTGAACTTTATGGCGCGTAAATTAGAACTTCATCCAGGTGAGGAAGAGGGCTAAAGTGAGAGAGAAAACATGAATGTCTGAGATCAAAGGCAATGTCAGTGTAGCTGAATTAGTTAAGTACCACTTAATGTCCTGTGGCAAAGAGAAAGAAAGAGCACAGAGACCAAACATGATGGCCACGCGCAGCTTGACCAGCCCCCTTGGAGGTGAGGGCATTTAGGTACACTGGCGGTGCTTTTCCCATCAGACACGCAAGCCTGCCCACCGTGTAGGAACTAACGCTGCAGAGCTGAGGCAGCGCGTACGCAGTGCTGGATGATTCTGGCAGTCTCTCCACAGTCACGCTTACTAACTCAGGGCCTAGGCAAGAGACTGAGAAAGTCATTCAGCCCGAGGTTACAGGTTTTCTAAGCAACACCTAAGGTTTATATTATGGGTCACGTAAGGAGTGAATCCCTCAGCACAAAGGACCAGATGGAGACGAAGCGTCCCCGCCTGAACCAGAAAGATGATCAGAGTAATGTGCCCTCATGGTTCTGATGTTTAATGAGGACACGAGAGACCGCTTTCCCGCACCCTATTCAATGGGCTTCCCTGGAGAAGACAGCACTGAAAGGAGGGTCAATTAAGGACTAGATTCTGTGTGGAAACCCTTTGCTCCAGGAAGACTCCTAAGGAGAAGAGAGCGGAACAAGAATTTATCTTCAACTGGGAACGAAACAAGTTGTCCAGAAAGAGGCACAATTTAGAACCTGGAGCAGTCCATTTTCTCAGTGCGTGGCAAAACTAAATTCCATTTATGAGTAACTGCTCCAAATGTGGTGGAATCACAAGACACTTCCTGCAGCCAGGATCACCCTAACCTCTCACTGAACGAGAGCTCTCAGGACTGCAGCCCACCTTCTCCAGGGGAGATCCCTCAAAGGGCCTCCTCAGATGCCCTGCCCTCCCGGTGCGGCCCAGAGCCTCCGGATCACACGCAGCGTGTCCTCGGGCGAGGAGTGCTGCCCACAGGGAGCACGCGCCGCCCCGTCTCGGGACTGGAGAGCAGGGCTGAGGGCCAGGGTGCTAGAGCAGTGCAGCAAGGAAGTGCAGCTTCCTTAGCTTCCGTAGCTTCTGTTGCTACGGCCACTGCGAAGCACTGGGCCAAGCCCGATGCACGGCTCTCAGGTTATTACAGGCAATACGGAAGCAGCCCCTGTGGAGCTGATTCTAAGTGATTTTCACGGATGTATCCCCCTCCGTGTCTTTAATTAAATGCTCGAGAAACACAAACCAAAAAAGGGGAGCAGGAGAAAAAAACATTAGCTTCCTCAGAAGCTGGAGAGATCCGAGGTTTATTAACTGTAATCACAGTTTTACAGACTCCGCTCTCTCTGCCTTTCCTTTTTTAAAATGTCTTTATTTTATCTTTCTCATCAAATGAATTATTTATCAGCAAAAGGAGAGGTATTCTATCTTGGTCTTGACTGCAGGACCACACACAGACAAACGCTGGATTACTGTCCAGTCAGCGTGGTCACACATGTGACTGAAGACTCGCGACCTCCTGGAGCCTGCTAACAGGAGGAAGCGGCATCACTGTGGGTCACTCAAACGAGGGTCTGTTTCCCCACAATGCCCGCGGGTATAGAGGAGAAAGCATTCAAGATATGATGACGTTTGCAGTCGGCCTACAAATGCATCTGGCCCCAGTCATCTAATTTCTTGGAGACAAGTACTAAGGAATGGAGTTTAGGAGGGTGACCTCACAGCTGGTAAGGCTGCTAGTTAGGACCCCTGCTCTCCCCCAACCAGGCCTTTGGCTAAACTGCCCTCCCTCAGCAGGAGCCAGCTGACCGGCTAGAAGAGTGAAAGGCAGAACAACAGGTGCCTGGACGTGGAGTGAGGCCTGGACTTGAGTCTTAAGCAGCCACAGCTAGTCAAGAAATGCACTGGCTCAAGGAAGGAAGCTCCCACTTTGGAAAAGCAGCTCTCCCTACTCCCCCTCCACTAAGTTCCTTTGATTTGGAGACCGTCTCAAACCCTAGAGATTCCTTTTTCAAAGAAGCTCTAATGACACAAGTGCTAGGTTTCTGGGATTCCCAACCTGATGAAAAATTGCTATCTCAGGATCAGCAGAGCACAAAATTTAAATGTAAGCTGCTAAATTTCTTTCTTGGCAGAAATTAATAATGTTACCGTTTCTGACCAGTTATTATGTATCGGGAACTGACTCAGCTGTGGGATGAAAGGGCTTTTTTTTTTTTTTTTAAGTGAAATGATTGCAGGCTCCATGACTAGGAGAGCAAGTACGGAGCTAGTCAGTGTTTAGGAAGGAGGAACTTCAGGCCTGAAAATGCCTAAAGTCGTACAATGTGAACGCATAGTTTACCGTGCAGACTGGGACGCTTTGGGAAAGAAAAGGACATCATTAATATTGATGCTAGGATAACCGGGAAAAACCAGGACTGCCTCAGCGCACCAGGACCTCCTAGAGTACAGCCCTTTCTCTATTTAAAATCCTTCCATGATCCCCATCACTGTAGAGTAGTCTGTAAATCAGTCTCATCCCTGTAACGTGGGCACACACCCAACCACAGCACACAGCACACGGGATGAGAACCGTGCATCTTCCTCTGTCTCTCCACTCCCGCCAGTCTGCACACTCAAGGGCAAGAGTGCGTGTTATGGGCCTGATGCTCTACCTTAATGCTTGTCACACAGCAGTTCTCGGTAAATACTAAGCGGCTCAGCAACACTCGTGATTGTTCATCCTCCATCCAACATCACAATGTCTCAGAGCAGACGCTCCTGCGTGCATGCTTTGTCCACCCGCCTTCTCAATCCCCCAGCTGTCATTTCCTAGCTACGTTGACTCTAGGCGAGTTACTGAACCTCTGTGCCTCGGTTTACTCACCAACATACGCAGGAATCATGACAATACATACTTCACAGGGTTACTGGGAGCATTAAATGAGTTACTGTATGTCAAGTGCTTTCAGCAATGCCTAGCCCTCGTAGTAAGCACCCAGTAAGCTTCTTGAAGGCAGAGACATTTGTCCCTTTTGATCACTGCTGTATTACTTGCTCCAGAAATAAGGCCTGGCAGAGAGACACTCAACGAGATGGCTGAAACTTAATGACATACACACTTCTCTCCCCGGTCCTGTGCTTTGCCCCACAGTGCCACACCCTCCATAGCCCACAGACTCCTGCACCCTAACAAGAGCACAGCACCATCCCCTGCACCATGGGGCACTGACTGATAGCCATCAAACTCTCTATGCCAGCTGTCAGGATGCCAGCTGTCAGGACACTTTACCTGAAGTAGATTACATGATACTCCTGAGTCTCCCACCTTCCAACTGTTCAATTCTAAGTACAGACAATGGCTGGGGGTTCAAAAACAGTTCCAAGAACTTTTTAAGTCTAGGACTGAACGCAAAGCTAACCATCAGGGTCAGGGCTGAAAATAAGGCAAGATTACTACTATGACCTTGTGTTTCCACACTTAAGGAAGGTAACTACTTTTAGAATATACATTCAAACATACATTGTACACAAAGTTACAAACCCTATAAATCATAAACAGTAATACAAACTGAGCTTACTTTTTAAAATAGAATTTTACAAAAATTAAATTACCTAAAATTAAGCCCACCATTGTACTTAAATATCCGGTTCCACTTCCCAGGTTAAGAAAAGACAATCCTGGTTGAAGTTTCAACGCTTCCATAACTTCTGAATAAATGCAAGGTGCTGACAAGTGTATGTTGCCATGCTTCCAGGCTAAGTCTTTGTAAGCATTGTCTCGGTAGCCTTCCAAATAGTAATCTCCGCGATCAATCGCTCTGAAGGCTTGCTCCACTCTTTCAGTGCGGATATACTGAGCTTCTTTTAAGTTATCAATTAAGTCATCATTATCTTCCCCAGCACTCACAGCTCCTCCCATGATAGTATTCAAATCAAACCATAAATTTTAAAATGTAATAAAATTAGCAGAAATGGCTTCCAATAATGTGGTTTGTTTTCCTTTAATATTGCACTTGATTTCCAAAAATAAATTAATCCTGAAAGGGAAGAATAAAAATAAACAGGTTTAAATGAATGCTCAAAATGAAAGTAATTCCAGCTTATTAAATATATAATAGTCATTATAACTAACTACCATTTCTCAAGGACATATTCTGTTCCAGGCACAGAGCTAAGCTCTTTAAATATATTGTTTTATTTATTTTTATAACCACCACAAAAGGCAGCTTAAGTTTGATCTCCTCTGTACAGACAGGAAACCTGGGACACAGAAATAAGTTAAATCACCTCATACTGTGAGGCCCAGTATGGCAGCCACAGTCACACATGGCTACCCAGACCTAAATTAATTAAAATTAAATACAATTAAAAATTCAGTCACACCGGCCACACTCCAAGTGCTGAAGAGCCCCACGTGGCCAGTGGCTGCCATGGTGGACAGGCTGCTCTGGAAAGGGACGCGGCTGGGGCATGGCCCCCAGCCTTCCAGACTCGAGACCACGCCCCTCCATCACTGAGCCACGGGCCTTCTTCAGCGTGTGGGAAGCCTAGGTAAACAAACACGAGTTACTGGACTTACAGTTCCTAAACGTAAACATCCACTATCAATCCCTAAATGCAGCACATAGGTTCAAAATGTTAACATAAAGAATAGATTACCTAAAAACGGAATACAACATGGAACTACAACATATTTAAAATGTGTGTATATAAATAAATATATATACATATATGTAAATATACATATTAAGATTGCTGTGTTTGGTAAACCCTGTCATGATAAATGAGACCACAAATTTTGTTAACAACTTTAATATTTTAAGCCTTAGAACATACGTTATACACACGTAGGTACAATGAACTTCTTTAACAAGTCAAACTCAGCACCTTTGAACGGAAACATAAGTGCAACTTGATAAAATAATAATTTCAATAGTACTATTCAATACACAATTTAAGCTTTATTCAATGCACTAATAGCAAATTCATGTATCAATTAATTTCTGAATTGATAAATCAGGCGAGAGGGAAAGGGAGAAACGAAAACACCCATATGGCCAAAAACCAGAGTTCTGACAGCCCACTCGGTCCACTCCCGAGAAGGCGAGCAGCCGGACCGCAGCCGGAGCGAGCGGCCGCGCCCCCAGGGCCTGCCCCACTGCCGGGGCCCCTCTTGTCTCTCCTCCTCTCCAAGCAGAAGAAACACTGCAGACTCGCGCCGCGCTCCTATCTGGCGCGCTCAAGCTCGCGCACACAAACAGCTGGCTCCGACGTCCCCACCCACTCCCCTTGGAAAGGGCCAGGGCCCTCGGCGCCATCCGGCCCGCGGCGCCATCCTCCCCGCGAGCTGAGCGCCCTGCAGCCGCCACGCAGCGAAGGCGGACGGGGACAGACCCTTTCCAGCTCAAGCGCCGCGCGGGGTGCAATTCCAGCACTTAAAGGTGGTGGGATTTGGGGCCGCGCCGTGAGGCTTGCGGGATCTTCGAGGCCTACCGCTGTCCCGCCAGGGAATTCCCCATTTAGAGGTGTTTTTGACAGCATGGCCTCTAAGCACAGGTTAGCTTTCTCACCGGGTCCTCAAAGTCTTCCCGAGACGACAGAAAAGCTGGCGACGCTGAGCTGCGGCGGCTGCCGTCAGCACCCCCCCGCCCCCGCCCCACCGGGAAAGCACTTGCTGAGGATCTGACGAGAGCGACTCTTGACTACACAGAGACATTTTGCAGACAGCTCTACCGAAACGCCATAATCTACTAGCTTGAAAAAATATTTCCCTTCTGCTCTGTTTTACGGCTGAAGAGTGACCTGACCCTTCTCGGGTCCTTCTGAACTCTAACCCAAAGTCATCATAGCAAAACGCACGCGTGGACCACACCACACGGGAGCTCACACTCTCAGTGAGAAAGGCAAGGGGTCCTAGACCCAAGCAAGCAGGGACTGCCGCCACTTGCGGCCATCTGTGTACTGCCTCACCAACGCCACCGTAAGCCTGGGAAGAAGGCCCTGGCAGGTCCACTGTCAAGTGAGAAACCGTCCGCAAAGAGACGGGGAGCTGCAGCTCACGTGACACACGCTGCTGAAGGAGCCCACGGAGCCCACAGGGAACTGGCTCCTGGGATCAAGGAAGCTTTCCTAAGGGCATGGACTGTGCAACACAGTAAAGGGAGTCAGGGAATTACAGGCTGAGGAAACAGCTCAGTCTAAATCAAGAGAGCAATTACACGGAGCTGGGCAGACTTCAGCCTGTGGGCCAGTGATTTCTTTGCAGGGGACCCTTTTGAGAGTCTGATCACAAACTCCCCTCTATTAAAAAGTGAACAAATCAGAAGTGTTGCATACAGTTTTAGAGGCTCCTGAGCTCCCAGAGACCCAGGAGTCCACTCTAGTTTAGGAACATCTACTACAGGCAGCAGAGTCAGTCAGGTATTAACAAGGGAAATTACTTTTCCATTTTAGAAAGTGCAGTGCATCTGTGTTTCAGATCTACTGCAACAGACCAGGCACTCAGAAGGCTGGAAAAAACATCACCTTTGTCAACAGGGTGTAGCGCCCAACTGCGAAACCAGATTTCCCAGACTCCTTTCTCTCTGGCCTGGTAGGAAAGAAACAGATCTGAACAGAAAGCTGAAAGGCTATGCAGGAGGGAGGAAGTCAGGAAAGGCTTCCTGGAGTAGGAGGTACAACCTGCTGCAGTGCATGTTTCTTCAACACAAATGGGCTCACACATTCAGCATACACGGTAATGACGTGGAGATAATGAAGGTGTGGCAGTTTACAATACATGTTCGTGTTCTGAAGTGACAGCAAGGCACAAGCTTCCACACACTAAAGGCATACCGTAGCAGCTCATAAAGACTTCAAGCAAAAAGCTTAGAATAGAGTACCTTCCTATTTAAGATAATTAGATGATGGTACAGTGTCTTCAAGTGATCTGGGTGACTGTGGATGCAGATGTAAAAATGCTAAGACGTTTTCCCTGAATTAAAACAACAGACTAGGGCTTCCCTGGTGGCGCAGTGGTTGAGAGTCCGCCTGCCGATGCAGGGGACACGGGTTTGTGCCCCGGTCCAGGAAGATCCCACATGCCGCGGAGCGGCTGGGCCCGTGAGCCATGGCCGCTGAGCCTGCGCGTCCGGAGCCTGTGCTCCGCAATGGGAGAGGCCACAACAGTGAGAGGCCCGCGTACCGCAAAAAAATAATAATAAAAATAAAAATAAAACAACAGACTAATGAAGGCTATACCCAGGTTCAGATTCTTTAATTTTAATAAAAATGATATCTATATGCAAATAAAATGATAACCCATAAGCAAATGGTCTTCCAGGGCCTGAATGTCAAAGGACGATGATGAACGCTAGGGTTTAAGGCTGTGAAGGACTGACTGACTGTGATGCCAGCTGCAAACCCCAGTAGAGGTTTAGCTGTCCCAGAAATTTTATTAGGATTGGTGTTGTTTCTGCTGGTAAGCTGGTTGCACAGGCTTTGAGTGGCATGCCCCAACGCTATTTTTCCCACAAGCCCTGCTGTTTTGCAAAACATTAGGTGTTTTCAGATGTTATAGTAGAAAAACCCAGTACTTGACCTCTCAGACCCTTGAAAAGATCCTAGGAGACCTCAAGGACCCCAAAGCACATGTGGCAAGCAGCTGGCATAAACAATTACAAACTCAGATGAACAGGGCACAGCAGTTGCACAAGGTGTTAGGGGGCACCCAGCCCAGACACAGTGGGGGCAGGGGAGGGGATGGAAGGACCGCACGGGTTGCCTAAAGAAGGCCTGAGAAGCAGAGACAGCAGAAAGCAGGAAAGGCATTTCAGGATGTAGAAGGGACAGGGGCAATACACCCACTCAAACACTGCAAACAGCACCGCAGAGGTGAGCCCGGGGACAGAAAGCAGTGCTCCTGAGGCCAGAAGGACCAAGGGGCCTGGCAAACTCGCAGGCCACAGCACATGGAGCCTGGACCTCCTCCTACAGACGGGGCAGGCCAGGGAAGGATTTCAGACAATGAGAAGTGCACTGAATGACTCAAACAGGATGTTAAGGGAAAATCAAAACCGTAAAAGAAAGGGACTGTTAGAATTGGAATACATTATTTGGTCTGTGGAAGGCAATATTTACATAGTCATAACAGAAAACATGATTGCTGATTTAACTTGAATAGTCATTTAACCACACTGGGAGAATGAGAGGGAGGTAAAGGGGGTATGGGAGTTAACCCTTCATCTGTAGCAGGACGTAAAAGCTATCTTTTTAAGTTCCCTCTGGAGTGTGAGCCTCCTGGGCGGGGGCGGGGGGGGGGGG